ATTAAAACCGCCCAGGCGTTCGTCCGTTCGTTGGTCAAGAGTGGTTGGCTTTGAGTTTGCACTGCCGAAGCCAAGACCGTTCCCGTCGTTTCACAGTAGCATCTTCCTTCAGACGACATCATGCGCGTCCCTCAGACCTGGGCCTTGGCCCTCCTTACCGGCGTCTCGGCCAAGAACATCTACGTCTCCCCCACCGGAAACGGCTCCGGCACCCTCGAGAGCCCGTACGGCTCCATCCAGACGGCCGTCAATGCCGCCGCGGCCGGAGACACCATCTTCCTCCGGGCCGGCACGTACGCCCCGTCGTCCAACATCCAGGTCGGCAAGAGCGGTACCAGGACCTCTCCCATCACCGTCCGGCCGTACAACTCGGAGAAGGTCATCATCAATGGCGAGAACATGCCCGGCACCCCCAAGGCCCTGAATGAGGCCCTGCCCAACGGCGAGCGCGGCATCTTCCACATCCAGAACGCCCAGTACTGGGCCTTCTACAACCTTGAGTATGACCCCCTTGACCTCCTTGATGTCTCCTACTTCCCTTTCTGACTTTATGCAGGCTGATCAACGGCCCCTACGGCATCTACGCCCGCGATGCCTCGCACAACTACTACGAGGGCCTGTCGACCCACGACAACTACGAGACCGGCTTCCAGCTCGAGGGCGCCTCGTCCAACAACACCGTCCTCAACCTGGACTCCTACCGCAACCGCGACCCGCGCAAGAACGGCGAGAGCGCTGACGGCTTCGCCTGCAAGAGCGGCTCGGGCACTGGCAACGTGCTCCGCAACGCCCGCCTCTGGGACAACGTCGACGACGGCCTTGACCTGTTCATGTTCGGCAGCCCTGGTACGTATCCTGCCCTCTATCATGGCTCCCGACACAGCTAACACCCTCGCAGTGACCCTCGAGGAGGTCTACGCCTGGGGCAACGGCGTCAACCGCTGGGGCTTCAGCCCCTTCGAGGGCGACGGCAACGGCTTCAAGCTCGGCATCACCGACAACCCTCCCGCCAACCACATCGTCCGCAACTGCATGGCCTTCCAGAACCTCAAGAAGGGCTTCATCGACAACGGCAACCCCGGCAAGCTGACCATGGAGCGCAACACGGCCTGGAAGAACGGCGACCTCGGCTTCCACCTCCGCAGCTCCTCCTCCACCCTCCGCAACAACATCGCCGTCAACAACGTTGGCTCCTCCCAGGCCAGCCTCATCAGCTCCGTCTCCGCCTCGGGCAACTCGTGGCAGTCGGGCTCCTGGTCCGACAGCTCCTTCTCGAGCACCGACGCCTCTACCCTCAAGGGTGCGCGTGGCTCCAACGGCAAGGTCCGTGGAAGCAACTTCCTGCTTCCCGCCTCCGGTGCTGCCATTGGCGCGACCACGCAGCAGGAGGTTTAGGGGGTGTCCCGCAGGGGAATGGGTGATGCAACTGTACATAGGAGAGGAGGGTGCCGTGAGGCGCCTAGTATATACAACGCGAGGCTTAATACATACAATGCCTAATAGAACCTGTATCCATTACCCATGTGCATCGTCGATGTGGTACTCCTACACGGGTTCGGACTAGAATCGTGGGTTTCCAGGATCGTACTCGATCATGCCACGCTGGAGCCATCGCACCTTTCCCGTCAGGGGGTCCATGATGCAGGCGTAGTGAGTGCACTCATTGATAATGGGGAACTCCATCATCCACTCTTCCAGGAAGCTCTCCCTAACGCCCTTCTTAGGTCTTGAGGCCGGACCGTGTACGCCCTCGTCGAGGCACAGTCCGTTCTTGTCCTCGCTTTTCACGTCTTCGGGGTTCGAGCTCCTACTGCCGACCGTGTGTAGCAGCCACTTCTCCTGCATCATGCCCATACGTTGCTCCGAGTCCTCGAGAAAGAGCTCTTGGCCCAGAAGCGCGGCTTGGGCATTGGTTGGGTCGGCCGGTGAGCCTGGCCTTCGGCGACAGCAGCTGGAACTATGTGTATCGTGGTTTGCCTGTACGATAAACTGGTTGGACGTCTTGATCTTGCCGGTGTGGAGGTCCTTCTCGATGACAACAGCTTCTTTCGAGTCGGAGAGTGTCAGATAGCAGGGTGACGACGGCTCTTTGGCAAGACGGGTGGCTAGTGATAGCAGCGGTGATGGCGCGTTGTCGCTGGTGGACGTCTGTTCGAGCGGCCAGGTCTTCTTGTCGAGGATGACGGACCGAAGGATGGACGAGATGGAAGGGCGGAAACCGAGGAGAACGAGAAGCTGGTGCTTTCGCAGTGCCTTCTTGGAGCACTGTCGCGTGGGCCGGTAGTTAAGTGAAAGGGAGAGACCGGGTCTGGTAATGCCTGGTCAGTGTATGCTCGTTTTTGAGGTCCAGGGGAGCTTGCCTGGCAGCTGTGAGAGTGCCTACGAAGCCGGCGTATGTGACTGAGGTGGCGATAACAAGCTCGGGGTCCTGCCTCGAATCCACAAACTCCACGACGATCAGAAGCTCCCTCAAAGGATCCATGCCCCAATCGAGGGTCCGGAAATGCATCAGGCGGCTTCCCTTGATGCCGTCGGCGCTGCGTCGTGGCTCGGTGAGAATGCATCCCGCCGTGCAGCTCATCAGGGCGTCGAGAAGAATGTTGAGCGCAATGACGAGATAGAGGTCGACACCGGCAGTCTTTGAAATGCTTCGCACTTCGCGATTATGCTCATCATCGTAGAGTCTCCTGAACAGTGCCTTTGCGCAGAATCTAGCCACGCGGCAGAGTAGCGGATATCGGAAGATGGAGAGAAGTAGCTCGTCGAAAACGTTGGTTACATCGCGCATCCGCGGCGCAAAGTCTCGGGCTACTTCGACATAACGCTGCTCTGGTGGAAGAGCAACATCTATTCGATACGTCGGGATTGGACCATCAGGCAGTGGCATTGTAACAATGTGCGATAGCTTGAGGTGATTGAAGAGGATGGAGTGGCGCAGAGCGATTTTTGGGATGCGATGATATTCTGGCGGTTGGTGGTTGACAGAGGCGACCGACCGGGGTCGACAGGCAGCAGTACTGGCAGCCCGGTGCGGGGTGCGGGAGTCCAGCACCGCCGTGGAGGTCACTGGCGGGGCACCTCGGTGTCAACATGGAAGGGAAGGTGTTACTCAGTAGGTAGGTAAGCCTCACCGTCAATCCTTCTTTCTTCCAAGTTCAACAGGATGATACGAAGGCTTGGCTTCCCCTTCGCTCAATTGAGGCACTGGCGAAACGGAGACGGAAGCAATCATTAATCTCATCATCTTATACATGTGCCAAAGCCAGTATGAGGGGCAACAGCGCCAAGCTCGACAGACGCCGACCGGGAGCTCCAGAGTCGTCGTCCTCATCATTCGAACCTCCACCGCTCCCTTCGCCATCCCCATCGCCCGCGGCCTCGTCCTCGTCATCGTCCTCGTCATCGCCGATAGATCCAAACTCACCTCTTTGAGGCTCGCGACTCCCTTGAGCGATATTATCTCCAGGCGAAAGACATACGGTCATCATGTCGATTCGATTGACGCCCTGAGTCTGTTGCATCACGTTCGTGCTGATCAAAACGGGCCAGGACTGCCGCACCGACAGGTCGTACAGCTCATCGCGGCGATGATTCCAGCCACGATAATCGATCGAGTACGTCCACAAGTTGAAAAGCTTCGTGTCTCTAGGGAACTCAAGCCCGGGCACTTGTGCTAATTCGCAGACGGACGCGTTGCCGAGACTCCTCGGGTCCACTGAGAGATGTGTCAGTAAGGTATGCTTCCACCTGGCATTAGGCATACGTGCAACACTTACCTGGCCTGACCATGGTCTTGATCCCGCACTTTTCCTTGGCGTCTTCGCTGAGCCCGGGACACCTCCTGTCGTTTGTTGCTTGCGTGAGCCGGAGTGCCGCGACGCACTCGTCGCCCAAGACGCCGCTGCACCCAACGCTGGGGCCGACTGATTCCGCTCCGTCCGACGTGTGGTTGACCGGAGCAATGGGGTAGATACACACATACGGGATCATCCCGTCCTCCGCCGTGGTGTTGATGAAGCTGTCGGGGACGCTGAGCATGTAGTTGAGCATCGGGAATTCCATCCATTCCGACTGGTCTGTAACAGAGTACTCATCTCTCCGCTGGTCAGATAGTGCCAGGGTCAAGCGCCAGTCATTTACCGTGTGCAAGCGAAACGACTCAGAGGCGGAGGCGTTATGGTAAAATGTGCCCTCTTCGACGCCTGGGATGCGTCCGCCGCACATGGTCGAATTTGAGCCCCGTTGTGCAAGGGCAAGACATGAAAGTCCCATGAAGACCAGACTGAGGCCGGGCTTCGATGCGTGCATTGTGCTGATCGTGACGGGTGATAAAGTTGATGACCTTGCTGTGATACCAACGTCCGCTTTCTTGCGATACCTGAACAGGATCAATCACTGCTTCTTATATCCCACAGGCCAACATTTACAAACTCAGTCTTGGACTCTGGGCTGTCAGCATTGGCAGTTGTCATCCTTCCATTCTGGGCTTGTGAGCGCGCCTCTCAAGCTCGGACTCGCCTGTCCGATCCAGTGCCCTTGCTAGATTTTGTATTCGTCTCTGCCGAAAGGATTGATTGTCTGGTTCACCCACTCGGGGTTTCACGAATGACGACAGTGACTTGGCGAGCTATTCCTTCGGGCGAAGACATTTGAACGCGGGTATATAAGATCGACACCTAGGCCCTTGGCCCTGTGACGATCACCGTCCCGGGAACTTGGCGCGCTCTTGCCGTTGGCCAGTGTCGCCGCATCGGCACCCTATCTTGGCATTTGTGTTGTCATGAGGCCCTGTCTTCTGAAGGGAAAGCAAAATGCGAGCACGGGAATCTTTTTTATAGGCCAGGCTTACTCGCATGTGCCTTAGGTGCCGGGCGAAGATGCCGGCTTCCGTGGAATTGCATCTCCCGCACCCGCAGCATCACTTCGACAGGCCGCCAGCCCGACGACACTCGAGAGTCAATCTTCTGATGCTTTCGGGAACAGAAGCAAAAATGAATAGATGCCGAAACACGGGATCGAACCGTGGGCCTTCGCATTTCATCGTGTTACGAGTGCGACGCTCTACCACTGAGCCATTCCGGCGTCACATGCTGCAGGTCGACTGTTGCGGGCATTCGTTGTCACAAGCTGCGGCTCCGAGCCTTCAAACAGCGGAACTCTGCTGCCAGAGGAGACCTAGAACACTTCACGTGTATCCGCCGGTGCTGAGATCTTGAGCATACGAGATGTGATGTAGTTGCGGGGTTTCTGGTGGGTCTTGACGTGACTGGAAGATCGTGTGTTGGCTCGGCACGGAGTGGAGGACATCGTCTGTACGGATGCTTTGGGACTTTCATTGTGTTTTCTAAATCCGAGCCCAATGCCTGCATAATCCTACAGCCGAGACTTGCCCCCCGGTGCGACGACCTTGAGCGCCTCATACGTCGCCTCTGCAGGCCCGTCAACGTGATATCCCGAATGCTTCAACAAGCTCTCGGCCGTGAGCAGACCAGCATGGAGTTCGCTCACACTTCTCACCCCCAGTAGACGCAGACCTCTCTCAATCTCGATCCGCAGTAGCTCAATTGCCCTCTCGACGCCCGGCTGGCCATACGCACCTAGAGGATAGAGCAGGCCACGACCAATACCGACACCTCGAGCTCCCAGACAAAGCGCCTTGATGACGTCGGTACCACGACGCACACCGCCATCGACGAAGACTTCGATCTTATCCTGCAGCCCACGCTCCCGGAGAACCGGCATCGTCTCAGCCAGTACCTCAAGAGATGATCGAGCGAATTCGAGCTGCCGTCCGCCGTGGTTCGAAAGAACGACCCCAGCCACGCCATGCTCCACAGCTTTGAGCACATCTTCGACACTCTGAACACCTTTGAGCACGATTGGCATGTTGGTGATGCTCTTGAACCAGGGGATATCGTCCCACGAAAGGGTTGAGTCGAGGAAAGTCGATGTTCCCTGATACACCTCAGGGTGCCATTCCTCACCGTTTTGGCTGGCTTCAAGCTGTCGAGCGCGTAGATCCTTCTCCCGCCTCCCGACCTGGGGGTTATCCACGGTGATGAAGAGGCCCTTGCAGCCACGCAGTTCGGCTCGCTGGACGATCTCCTTGGTAACTTCCCGGTCCTCGTTGACGTAGAGCTGCATCCAGTGGACTTGATTCTCGTCTCGACGGGCGTCGACAATTTCGTCGAAAGAGCATGAAGAGAGTGTTGGGATCATGTGGATGATATTGTGGGTGCCAGCGGCACGGGTGAAGGCAACCTCGCCTTCGGGGTGGGCAAGCTTGTTGAGGGCCGTAGCAGTGATGTAGAAGGGGAGGGATGATTGGGTGCCGAGAAGTGTTGTGGAAACATCGACCTGCTTGACGTTGACTAGGACGCGAGGTCGGAACCAAACGCGGTGAAAGGCTCGATGGTTCTCTTGTAAGGTCTTTGGAGAATTCTCAGGTCAGTTGATTCGTGATGCTTGGTGTTTGAAGATCAGGGGCTCATACAATCTCATCGTCGGCTGCGCTGGAGAAGTATGCCCACGATGTCGGGTTCAGGACTTGCCGCGCCACCGATTCAAAGTCGAAGAGGTTGAGGCAGTGGGATAGCGGCGGCTTGTTGGCGGGCTGAGGAGGATGTTGAACTTCCTTCTTCATCAGTTGAACTCTATCAACCTTGACGAGCGGCTGCTCCTCCGTGGATGGACGGCCCTGCTGCGACGGGATGCTTGTCTCAGTGGCGTTGGACTGAACGACGGGACCTAGGTGCTTCTTTTGATCCAAGTGTTTGTCGAGAGTTCCAGCTGGATGAATGGGATCATAGGCTGCCGTGGCGTCTTTGCCCTTGGCTGTGTTAGCGTTGGTGGCCGTTAAGAGGGAGACAGCCGCTGTTTCGACGTCAGTCAGACTCACTGCATACTTCAAGATCGACTGCTGACCGCCAGGATGATCTGAATAACCATCGTTAGCCTGGTATTCGTAGCTAGTTATAGGCATCAACCCACCTGGGAGGAAATCAGTCATGTCGTAGGCTTTTCCCTACAGAGCAATCTGTTAGCGTGCTGAGCCCCAGGGCCACAAGGAGGCTGCCCTTACATGTACAATGACCCAGCAGGACTCCGCATTGTTGTGGGTTGCAACTTCGCTGTCTGTAAGACTGTCGGCTGCCATTTCGAGGTATGCAGTGAACAGAGAGAGTCTGTGTGAAGGACAGTAGCGGCTACAGGTAGGTAGGAAGATTGAACATGCACTGGGAGAGTGGCCCCTGGACACACGTGGGACCTAGACCCTTCCCGTTATCTGTGGGGGGTTGCATCGTGGAAAATTCGGCCCCTGATCGTCGTCAGCTCATCCCGACGCTAGCAGACTCGCCCGAAACTCACATCGGCCGCTGAGCCTGCGGATTGGACGGGAGCCTTGATAACCGATGGCACATTGGATGTGCCGTCTTATCCATTCATGTAGGATCAGGGATTATTTGCACGGCCGGATGCATGTTTCCAGAAACATAAGGTAATCGTACAAGACCTCCGGCGCAAAGCCCACATGTGTTCGAGGCACGACATTTGGCATCCACATGACGCCATTCCGTTGACTTGACCTGACCAAAAGCCGAGGTTTTCAAACGGCAATGGGATCATCGAGGGTGTGGTGCTGAAGACGCCATCGAGACAGTCACCTCAAGGATCAAAAGATTTCGTAATAATTCAATACTTCTTCATGTACTTCGGCGCAGGAATCGTCACTGCCATCGCCATCATGATCCCTGGGATCTGTATCAGTCTCAGCTAGACAAGCTTCAAGCTGCCTCCGATGACGTCTCGACCAGGGGCTTCTTGCCATATAGTGAGTAGCTGTAAAAAGTCAGCAGGGTAAACCTCATTGCAGAACATCAGGCACGTACATCGGCCAGTAAGCATGGATACTCCGATTGGCCATGTCCTTCCTCACATCGACAAGGAACAGCTCAACCTCCTCAGGTGTCCAGCCGTGTGCGCGGGTAAGAGGCGCCATGGTGATGGCGGAAAGACCCGAGGAGAAGTTCTCGTAGCACCAGGCCCCGATCTCCTTGTACTTCTTCTCCTTGGGCCACGGGTTCATCGGCCACTTGAGACGCTCAATTGTGACATCGACGAAGCCGACCTCACGCATGATGTCCGCGAGCTCAGGGATGCTCGCGAACGCACGGCCAAATTTGACAGAGGCTTCGAGGAGGAGATCAAACGCCCTGCTGAGGGCGCTGTCCTTGGGAATAGAATCGTCGTCAGAGACGACCCTGAGATCGGCCTCTTGGAGCTCCAGGTAACCACCTGGCTCGAGGTTTCTAGGAGTAAGGGTTAGCAACGATCGGCGAGGTAGCATAGAAGGGAACGTCATACTCAAGGCTTCTCTTGAAAAGATCGCGCCAGTTGGCAATGCTGGAGTTCATGAAGCGGCTGTGGATGTAGTCGAAGTTGTGGGAGAAGGTCCATTCCTCCTCAATATCGTCGATCTGGAAGGTCACGTTGGGAGGGACGCTTCGTGGAAGTCAGCAAGAATCTGCTTGCACATGGCGGCGAGGGAGCTGATGACTTACAAGCTGGACTGGATAGGGGAAAGGTCGACGCCGATGACCTGGCTTTGTCAGTACAGGGCAATCACCTGTTGATGACTTCAATGTGACACTGCTTACCTTTGCGCCGGGATGCTCATCACCAAAGTCGGTGGCCCAAATACCGGTTCCGGTGCCAATGTCGAGGACATTCTTGACGTCGGAATCAGCATCGTTGGGCGGGGCAAGACCGAGCTTGTTGTCGAAGGTGATGGTAAAGAGGTTGTGCTGCAGATCTGCACGACTGTGTGTGAGAGAAACGTCCATTTGACGCGAGACTCAATGAGACCTACCCAGCCGGTCGCTCTCCTGTTCGTCGTTCGGCAAGGCATATTCTACGCATCGTCAGTCACACACAGAAGAAGAGCCACAGCAGCCACTAGAGCAAGACGTACTGCCGTCCTTGTATGCATGGTACGTCCGCCCGTTCTCTCGGCGGTAGTTGTAGATAGAGGTGCTGACACTGGCCGTCGACGAGGCCGCATCCTAGATAGGCGTCAGTACTCGCCAAGGCGGGCTATATGAGCTCACTCGCCTCCGTCAGCGTGGGATCGTTCTGCTCCACCTTCGCAGAATGTCGTTAGCCATCGTCGATCACGGCGCTGCACTACTCGGAGGCGACCGCAATACTAACCACATCGTCGGCAACGAGCACAGGCCCAGAGGTATCTTGGTTGTCCGCCATCGCGTGAGCCGTTGTCTGTTGTTGTTTCGATCTTCTTTGACGTGGGAGAAACAGACAGTCTGGCAACCCCGCATCGCCGGCTTTGGGGAGTCCCGGATTTATACCACTTGGGTGTCTTGCATGAACCGGCCGGCCCATGCCCGCCTGATGTGGGCTGTTGGTTTGCCAAGGCGGGCTGGCCGGGTGAAGTACTGGAGGCGAGGTCACTCGAATGCTGTGCTGTACCTTACCGACCGCCGCTTTGTGGTGCCTTGCTGTCTTGTAGGGGCGAATTTGACCGTTGGAAATCCATCTTGATACCTGGTCCACGGCGCTGTAAGGAGATCCCCATTCCCGTCACTTCTCCAACCAACCCAACAGTGAAAGTTACCAGATCAGTGAGGTATTACATGTACTAGCGGTTGGTCCTTCATGCAGACATATCTGCACAATGTGCCTGAAGCTGCAGGGATCCCCGCTCCGCCACCTATTTCACATGCAAGATGCTCATATGCACCAACAGGCGAGATTGCACTCTGCTTCTGGAACATCTGCCGCTTTTGGGGCGTCACGGAACTGGCCGAAGTCCGCGGCGATGTGGAAGCATGTAATGCGATTACTATGACTGAGGGTCTGAGACTAAAGCCACGGAAGCCAAAAACATACGCACATCACCTCCCTCATTCTGCTACTACTCGCCCATCCGAAATCCTCATGTTCAGGTGGCTAGGCTTAGACTTTCCCCTCAAGGCACCGGAGAGTACCTCCCATGGCTTAGCTCGACAGATTCCCTTCGTAAGGATGAGTCGTCCTCGTCTTCCTTGACGGAGACGTACTTGACC